GGTTTTAGTCCTAAGTTGCTGGAAGTTGTAAACCCTATACCACCTCCTCTTTTTGTCCTTCTTCTCTATTCCATCCAATCCAATCCAGTCCATGGGTATTTTTGGTGAAAATATCTGGTTGGAATTCATCCCTGAAGAAGGTTTTACCTACCGCCAGTACCCCTAGGGCTTCTTGTATCATCCAGTCGATGGTGTCCTGGGATTTATTTTTTGACTTTAGGCAATTTACATTTAGCCACCCTACTTTAAGTTCATTAATATTTTTTATATCCTTGTGGCCCTGTCTTTCTAGTTTCCCTGGTGGATCCTAATAAAGTTCTCAGCCAGCAGTCTTGCCCTTTTCCGGTTTAAGTGCAATCCATCTGGCAGATATAGCTCTTGTCTGTCCCAAAAGCATTTCCAGTTGTCTATATAGATAGCATTCGTATCTTTACATAGGGACCTGATGCTTGAATTGATCGACAATATCTTTTGATTCCCTAGATTCCCCCTGTGGCAAGGAAGTATCCCAGAAATTGCCAGGTTTCCCTTGACCCTAGCCTTAGCCTTGTACAAAAGGTTGGCGATGTCCTTCCTTGTTGGCTCCAAGTCCTTGTTTAGTGTGTCGTTTATCCCTGCATGTATGATGACCGTGCCCTCTTGTTCCTTTCTGTTGATTGATCTGTCTAGCCTATCCGTTATATCATTTGCTTCTGCGCCCGCAAATGTTATTGTGGTCCGGTCTTCTCTATGTCCGCTATCGCTGACTGTCTTTGCTGTCTTTCGGACTATCGAGTCACCTAGTACCAGTAGGCTGTCCCTCTCCGGCTTCGTTGTTTCCACTTCCTTCTGCTTATGTACCAGTAAACTGTGTCCTTAAAACCTTTGCACATGAGCTGACTGGAGGAGGGGAAAGGGGGGTCAAATGCCCCCCATGCCCTTCCCCCTTGGTGCCGCCACTGACTCCTGATAATATAAGCAGGAGTGTATAATAAATAGCGTAATATAGAGTGTATGCTCCATATTATCCACTACAGATCAGGGGCGTAAATCCGTACCGAAGAATGGGGGGGGGGATGATCGGCGATAGCCATCACATACTAGCACGAGCACAAGCCCACAATAATTTACGCACACGCGCGCGATCGCGCACGCACGAACATACACACACACACACACACACACACACACACACACACACACACACACACACACACATACACACACAAACGAACAAACAACAAACACACACACACAAACACACGTAAACGAACAAACAACAAATACACACACACACATACACACACAAACGAACAAACAACAAATACACACACACACATACACACACAAACGAACAAACAACAAATACACACACACACA